GGGTTTTCTTCTATTTTCTTATTAGTTCTTGTTCTTGTTTATTTCCTCTAATCTCCATGGGGAAGTGGAACAGAATTCTTCCTCCGTAAGCCATGCTTGTCATAAAAGGTGGCTAAAATGCTGGGAGCCAGGGACTAGTAACCCCTTCTCCTGTATACATTACTAAAGTTAAAAAGAGAAACTTTTGTTTTTGTTTTTGGGCCAATGTGCTTCTGTGGGATACGGCCAGTTTGTTGAAAGGACAAGGCATACACACCCATACTCTTCTACCCATAGTTGCATTAACACACCGCCTACTTTTTTCCTCTTGTCCATGCTACAGTTTGCCCTCCCCTCCCCTCCCTTTTTATTTTTTTGTTGCAGATCAGTTTACTGACATGTCTGCTCCTAAATAACTGTATGCATTTACTTCCTTCATATTCTCTCCCTCTAGCCTGATATGCAATAATGAATTAACATATGTGGGAAAAGCACATATATTACCATTCCTTATCATTTTTTACTTCTCTATATAAAGTCATTGGTTTTACTTCTCTATACCAATAATAATTGATTTTATGAAAGGAACATAATTATCACCATCATCTGCATTTGCAGGATAAGTGTGGGGTTTGTCAGTAGATTATGTATTTTAATTTTAATTTATACAGTGTTTTGGATGAATAATAAAAATAATTCTGGTCCCAAGGCATCAGATGAGGAGGATTTGGTAGTGGATGAGGTTGTCTCATTTTCGATGACTGGAGGAAACCGACACCGCTCAGAATCATTTTCCTCCATCACTGGTCCTTGTGTACCCCCAGATCTTCTCATGGATACAGGAAAGGTAGATATATTGCCCTTTTTGTCATCTCTCCAGCTGGTAAGAATTAATATTTTACTGTGAAGTTAGTAAGTTGGTAGACACTATAAAGTGTTAGATTTAAGGGATTTTGCCTTACTGTTTGAATAGTTTGATCAAATGATCAGGATAGACTAAATATGTCTTTTAATTCTGCTAGAATCCACTCTTCTGTCTTTTTTTTTTATTTATTTATTTAGTTATTTAGTTTTGAGTAATTTTTAGAGATTAAAAAAATATTTGGAGCATATCGTGAGTAATTCTTTTGTTTTGGTATAAAAGTAATGCAAGGAATATGACATAAGTATGGTTTATTTTTGGCTTTGTCAGGAACTTGTAAAGTTAGCCTTTTTTTGTAAGGTACTTAGTTGAATCATATTTGTTGCATCTAGCAGTGTTCTTTTATTATGTAATGTACTCTGGTTTGTACAGTACACTACTGTATGACTGGTCTTGTTGGTAACTACTTAGGGGTTTCTGTGGCTCTAACTGAACACAGAAGTTGTTGGTAAATTAATAGCTTGCATTCCAATATCTATTATTTTATCTTCATCTGTTGCCTTGTTCCACTGGGAACTGTCCTGCAAGGATGAATTCAGTATAAAAGTATATAAATATTCCTTTCTAATCATTGGGTGGCCTGTTGTGTACTCATAATGTTGCATCCTAACTTTGAAATTTACTTGCATGTTCTCCTTATAAGCCTGACCATGAGCTATTTTCTCCAGATGTTTGAAATGTTAAATAGCATTATTGATTTCTACTGAATCCTGCCTTCCACATCTGGCATTCCCTGATCCCACATATTCCATACACTATTACATTACTTTCTCTTCTCATCAACTTGTACCAAAACTATTTTAGATCACTTCATTGTTTGAATCTTGGATTGATGTGCCGTATTCCATATTTGTTTCACATTTCATAAATTTTGGATTGAAAGCTGTTACTGTCATCCAATCCTTTCTTCATGTGCTTATTAATGTTTCTCTGGATCCAGAAACTTTTTTTTCTCTTTTGAGTTGTACACTCCCTTTTTGTATGTGAACAATGTAATGTTTGCATGACCGTTTATATTGTTTTCTCTCTTGTATTAAAATTTTTTTCTTTGGATTACACATATTTTGATCAATGTTTACAGGCATGTGGTGAATTGGGTATCCGTCTTAGGGAAGTTAAAGAGGAGGAGGAGGAGGAGGAGGAGGAGGAGGAGGAGGAGGAGGATGATTTGGAAAATAACATATTATTAGAAAATGCCCTGGTACCTTCTGAAGATGCAGACACACCTACTTTGAAGGCAGAGCATGACCAGTGTGTAGAAATGAAGCTAAATTTAATAAGTGAAGAGGTGGCAATTGAGCCTGAAGAGGAGTGGATTGAAGGTTAGTGAAGTATGGCATTTGTAGAAGTTATATTTTTAATATTTTCATATTTTTTAAATTTTAGGCATAATAAATTTAATGTTGCCTGAAGAATATGAAATCAGTAAATCTGCTGTTTCAAAAATTACTACCAGAAATCTGAAAGATTATTAATCATGGAATTATTTAAATATTTATATTAGGATTTGATGTGAGGATTACAATTCTCCACACAGATTTTGAAGTCTCCAACCCTGGCAAAGAACTTGGGACAATTACTTCTCAAGTAATTGACGAG